ATTTCTCTATTTCTCTTGTCTTTTGTCTCTTGTTTGATTTCTTTAATATATTACAACAGGTTTTAAATTTACCCTAACTTTTTATTAGATTTATAAATCGGAAATTAGATTAAATGGGTTTTTTAAACTAATTTCAAAAGGCTATGGTAAATGTTTTTCTTTAATTTCGTCGAATTGCCTTAATGTTAGGACAAACCCTAATTCGGCACTTAAATTAAATGTTACTTTTAATTACTGATTTCAAAAACTCATGTTTGATGCTCTGGGTTATTAAAAAAAACTCACATTTTGTATAACATCGTGAAGAGTTTGACCGGCATGGCACCAGTGGTCTAGTGGTAGAATAGTACCCTGCCACGGTACAGACCCGGGTTCGATTCCCGGCTGGTGCAGTTCATTTTTATTTTCTTAAATAAATTGCATTTCTTGATCAGGTAGTAGTTTTTATTCCCTGTTTTGGAAAGTCCTATTTTTTTTGGTGTTGCAATGCAGCAATATAGCTGCAAATGGAATTAACATGAAACGGAAACAGGAGACGGTGGAATTATCTTTTTATCGAATGTTTATTTAGCGGGTTCTTCTGTTATGTTGGCTTGCATCGAAGAAGACTATATATGTTGCTTATTGATCTTTGGCAATGAATGCCATCGAATACTTGTGGCAACAGGACACCAAAAAGCTTCTCTCAAACATCAGGGTCGATCAGGAAACATCTAGATTCAACACGTAGGTGCGTCGGTGAGCACGGTAGAGACTGAAACCTGCAGCACTTGTAGATCCAAAAGATGAACGGAAGGTTAGAAACATATTTACTACTTGGTGTAACTTAGATCAGCATATATATGTTAGAACGCGCTCGTGACCCAGCTTTCTCATGGTGTTGGCATACGGGTTGCTTCCCTCGAGAGACATACGTGCGATGCACGCGCACGACACTCCTCTTTGCTTTGGACCGTGGCTGCGGCGCTGACTCCCGCAAACTGTATCTACACGACGTTGGGGGATGTCTCTGAGCCTCGGTCGTTTTTGTTCCTGTATCAAAATGATTGCTTAATCCAAGCAAAGAAATGGAATTAGCAGAACATGATAAACAGGATTCACTCCTCACTAATGGCGCATCTATTTATGTTAAGATCGCACGACACAACCAATTCGCAGCCTTTTTCGTATAAAGAACGCATGTTACACATTATTCGCTTCTCGGTAGTTTTGTTACTTTTACAGATATGTGATTGGTCTGGGGTACGTTACATTTTTTTTGGACCTGGATCATTCAGGGATGGTCCCTTGTGCGAATGCCGGTCCAGGGAATGTCATCCGGCGTTATCCGCATTTCTTCTGATTTCTTCCAAGCCTTTTTCCACCGATGCATTGATCCCAATCTGTAGTGTGTTTTTTTTCCCAACGTAATTGTTCTAATTATCACAATATTGAATTGATTATGTTCTTTCGTCTCTTCTTATTTGAATCGGTCCATTGTTCTTGCAAGATTGATTTTGATTGTGAGTTTGCTGTATGTAATGAGGGGATTCTTGCAAAAATTCACCAGCTCTATTCTCTTTTGGGTCAAGTAAAAAGACTTTATTAGACCTGAAAGAACCCAATAATTAAGCGAAGAATTTTATTTATCAATCAACGCTTAAAAAAATATCTTTACATATTTGCAGTTATAGTGTTGACATCCAACCGTGACTCTTTAAGAGCAAGCAGGATGTACACACTAAAGCCAAATAGTTCAAGTATGGCAACAACACTAATGCTTTAGTAGATGATAGTAAGTTAAGGTGTAGTGGTTTTTGATGGACTCTGCCCACCGCACTCGCTTCTGACCAGATCGTAGCGTTACAGGTTTTGGTCCTCTGTTTTAATAAGCTGATGAACTTTTGTTTCGTTTCGGGGGGTCCTGTTGGAGATATTTTGAGAGATTTATTGTCTCGAACATGCAGCCTGCACCAAACATAGTTTTCTTCTCCTCTGCAGGACCCTGTGCGCTCGCTCCTGATTTCGTCAAGGTTAGTCTTCCAGCTCTATCGAAAAATATGGACTTTCACGATATCCGAACTTGTACTGTGAGAAAAAATTCTTTGAACTCAACGGCATGGAAGGATCCCATACAAAGTGGTGGGTAGAGTCAAGAATAACAATGGAACTAAGGCCTTCAATTACGTCAGGAAGCTTCTGTCTGAACCCATCAAAAAATTTGTTTGACGTAAATCTCGTCAGGAAGCTTCTGTCTGAACCCAAGTTGTCTATGAGAGGGAGTTTTTGATGTCAAAGCTATTCCCAGAGGATTACTCTGCATCATCCTGTTAATAGGCATTCAAGAATTGCCAGCCAAGCAGAACAATTGGCTCAGTCTTTAGACAACGGGAACTACATTAGCGCACACACTCACATGCGAATGGTTCAGGTTCGTTATGACATCGAATTTCTGCCCTGCGGTGCACTTTTTTGTATATGCCGTTGATTTCAAATAGCTGGTTCCATTCTCCTTTTATTGCATTCTCTTTTGTTAGATGTGATTTGGACAACTGCTTCATCAAAATTTCAAGTTCTTATTTACTTATTTTTAGTTTCTCCGATATACCAATTGAGTTGACACGCACCATCTTTTTTGCTGTTTTAAACACTTTGCTTTTGTTGTTCAATAACATCCGAACTACCAGAAACCTTATCAATTAAGGGTTTGATATTGAATTTGTATAGATCGGAAATTCAAAGGTCCTGAACTAGTTTGCCGTGGACTCAAGGTTAGTCATGTGTGCAAGGCTCTTCCAAGTAGTTGCCTTGTACTTCTTCTGTTTTTCATAAATCATTAACCCATACGGATATAGCGAATTTATGTTATGACTGGTTGTGGATCTGACACCAACTCTCTGGTGCTTATTTTCTAGAACGGCATTTAGAATCTGCAATGCCCTGATTTTTTTTTTAATGATGTATGGCATGTTTACGGCCTTCTCTGGTGGTCAGATTGAGAGTACAGGGAAGCTATTAAATGCCACAGAAATGCGGTGAACGTTTTCGTTTCTAGTCACAAGCGTTGTTGGATGTTTCCACTTGAAGGTATAACTTAGTAGCCAGAAGTTAATGAAATATGTACATGGCGATTATTTGCTCCGAAAGCTCAATAAACCATTTTTTAGGCACAGATGAGGGAAGGATTTGTTGAAACTAGGCAACAATTTCCAGCACAAACCAAATCATCTAACGAACTGGATTGTCTTTGCTTTTATCCATCAGCTGGATTCTATGTAAGCTTCTATTTTATAACTTAAATTTGAATTGAATGTGTAAGAAAATTTCTGCTTCTCTCCCTGTATACAAATGTAAGGGGTTTTCCGCAAAATCTGTAAGGATGCTAGACAGAGACTAGAAAGGCCTTCCCTTATTGAACTCGGGAGCAAACTTTCAAATATTCTAGTCATGAGAAGTATCTAGATGCATACTTTGGCAAAGGGTATCGCATTCATCTCTAAGGTGTTTTAGCTTAAGGGTCGACTGTGAACTACTCTGAGGTGTTAGCTTAAGGGTTGGCTGTGAACTCTGGATCCCAATTCTCTACTTTATACTTCATCAAAATGGGACTCACCTCCTTGCAAAAACTGAGACTCTGATAATGTACAAACCGTAAATATTAATGTGTCTTCATCTGGTAATAGCCGCTAACTTGCCCACATTTTTAGATTCTTAATAATGAACAAAAGTGTTGGGATTTCTCCACATTATCTATCTGCATCTCTGTACCTTTAGCTTATGTTCTCTGCAAGATTTACTGCAGTTGTCGCTGCAGGAGAGTTGCAGTTGAGTCAGATAAGGAAAACAACCTTTAGGCCCAATCACTGACGAAGAGAGCCTACCGTGACCTTGAAGATAATGTTCCTCCGAATTGCCTATGTTAACATGTTTCGCAACCTGAAGAACCAAGTGAACAGACCCCTCATTCTCCTGCACCCCCAGCTTATTTGGCAGACACATTCTTGAGATATAGAATCGCCAATCAGTCAGATTCAAGTTCTGATACTAACATGGTTCAAGATCTACTGGTACCAACTGAACAATCGCCTGATCCGTTATCTGAATCCTTGACTTCTCTCAGTGATATCATACCAGTTACCAACATTCTGACATTAATTGTGATCAAGAAGATTTTATGTAAAATTACATGCATACCGATCAATTCAATTTTACTAGCTGTGTACCAAATATTATGTTATCCGTCTCATTTCAGAATTCCCTGGATAACCGCAACATATATCATTGCAAGGAAAGCTTCACTCTCATCCTCATGAATCAACTAGAGCGCAATGAAATTGGCTGCAGCATTAACCAGCAGCAGAATGACGACCCATGATTCAGTTCCCGGCACTTTGTGGGTACTACCAGCCCGCAGTTTCAGGCTGGCTCCACTTCCATAATAAAACAAAATGGGAAACTCTCGAGAACCTTAAACCGACTAGCAAAGAACTGATGCAGTCCCAAGAGAGGTATTATTCTTTAAATTTTCTTTTAGTTCATTCATTCGGCTAAAAAGAGAGAGAGAGAGAGAGAAGAAGAAGAAGAAGAAGAAAACATAATGGATTGCTTTTCTTGTTTCTATGTTTCGCAGGGTACATTGTAATGTATTCCATAGCAAATACCGGAATAGATAAATTTACACTTGCAAGATTGAAGAGGATATCTTGTATATTAGTGATATATATACGGGATGAGTTGAAGCTCACTAGTAGAAAATTGCATATTCTAGACGGAATTTTTTCCGTCTAGAATGTATTAAACTAGACGGAAAATTTCCGTCTAGAATATTCCGTCTAGGATAAATTATTCTAGACGGAAATTTCCGTCTAGAATAGTATCCTAGACGGTTGTTTTATTTTTATTATTTTTTTTAAAATTTCTACGTATTCTAGACGGAAATTTCCGTCTAGGATTTACGGTCATTTTAAATTTTCATTCCGACCTTCAGATCCCGCGGCTCAAAAATTTCCCCCCTTATTTATCAAAAACTCTCTCAAAAATTTCATTCCCCCTCTCTCTAAAAACTTCCAAACCTTGAGCTTCCCTCCTTCCCATCGCCGGCCGCATCCCCCCTTCATCGACGGCGTCTACATCCTGACGGCGCCAACCCCTGTTCGAACCCGGCACGGGCTACCACTTGTTCGACGGCGTCGGGATGATCCACTCCGTCAGGATCCGCAACGGCCAGGCCTCTTCCGCTTGGTCGACCCCTCGCACGGGACTAGCGTCGCCAACGCCGGCCTCATCAAGGGTCAAAATTGATTCCTCCACTTTAGACAAGCTCTCTTCTCAATCGAAGAAACCCTCTTCGATCTCTCCCCCCAAAACCCTACCACCAACAAACCCTAAATTTCTAACCATTAATTTCTGCAGCAATGGCCATTTAGCCATTAATTTCTCTAAAGGAGGTTATGGGAGTTAAGGTATTTGCCCTCATTTTGGTTAATTTTTGTTATTTTCAATTTAGTACATTTATTAAAGCGATAGCAACAGTTTAATTGAGTTATTCCATTGGATTTTATCTCTTATCTGGCAGTTTTTGGTTGCCAAGAATTGTAAGATTAGTTATCACTGACCTATTTCACTAATCTGTAAATATGCAGGAATGAAGTATTGATTTTGTTGATGATGGTTCTTGAATGGATTTGCTTATAAGTTTCGCTAAACTAAACTATTTTGTAGTTCACCACAGTTCACTTGTAATAGCTGTGCTCCTAGTTGTATAGGGAGGTCGTAATTAGTGGTACTGAGGAATGAGAACTTCACCTTTTTAGATTTACCCGCTATTATTCTGTTAAAAGAGAATTAAATATGGATTTCTTGTACATGCTTCAAGTTTTTGCATAGATATTTATATGTATCAGCAGACTATGTTGAGGGGAAGGAGCTGGGAGGAGAATTCAGGGGAGGGGAAGGAGAAGGGGAAGAGTAAGGTTGATCAGCATGCTATTTTGAGGACCCAGGTAACACTAAATATTTTGCAATGTGAATGAGTTTAGTTTTGATGATGAATGTGTTGAGATTGGAAAGATAAGATTTTTATGCAAATGTGATATGTGACGTTGAGTAAACTTCACTTCTTGATCAGTAATTAAACCTTGATAGAAATGTTTCATTGAATTTTAGAGCTATTATTAGCTTATCTAAACACTGCATTGTACATGTGCATTCCTTGTGATCAGCTCTAATCGTGAAAAAGTACAACATTGTTAATTCTCTTTCTTGAATATTTTCATTACAGTGATTGATGGACTAGTTATGGATGGAAGAAACAGTATCTGTAAAGGATGACAAAATGACTCGAAGCTATATAACACATAAGATGAGTTTATGAGCATGCAGCTTATAGGTGACATAGTGAATAAACATTGGATGGAGATTGTAACGGGGATGAAGATTGGGAAGATAATGATGGTGCTCTCAATGCAATAATGATGTTATTCTTCATAAGTGAATAAACATTTGATTTTTTGAGTCACTCATTAACTCCATCTTTACAAAATTTATCCTGAAATTTTCATGAAAACTTATCTGATATATGTGATAGTGTTCATCACTAAGCTTGATAATACTCGTTCATTTTTCAGGTACTATACGATTATTGAAGCCGATCACATCTTTTTTATTGTAAATCAAGAGAGAGCAGGAGTACAGTTTAGCAATTTGAATTAGAAGCCCTTAATATGCTGAGTGTAATACTAATTATGACTTGAAGCATTGAAAGTTCTCTGCGGCTCCGATTGTAAATAAACATATAAATAGAAAAGTAGTTATTATCTATGTAAACAATTTATGTATCGCGTTCCTTTTTGTTAATAGAGATTATTAGACCTGTTTGCCGATGCACTGACATCCATTGTAAATAATTTATGTAAAAGTTTGTAAACAATTTATGTATTATTTGAATATAATTGGATTTGATATTGGAATATAATTAGATTGTGGTGGATATCCATATAATTTGTTTTTGTTCAATATTGTGTACATGCATTCAAAGTGGATTTTGCAAAAAGAAAAAAAAACCTACTGTAGCATAGTATCCTAGACGGAAATTCCGTCTAGGATGCTCAAATTCCGTCTAGGATGCCTTTTTTTAAAAAAAATTAAAAAAAAAATTAAAAACCTCAATTTCCGTCTAGAATGAGTATTCTAGACGGAAATTTCCGTCTAGAATACTCATTCTAGACGGAAATTTTTTCCGTCTAGAATAAAGTATTCTAGACGGAAATTTCCGTCTAGAATAATCCGTCTAGGATGTATTCTAGACGGTTTTCATTTCCGTCTAGGATATATTCTAGACGGAATTTCCGTCTAGAATACTTTATTCTAGACGGAAACATCCTAGACGGGTATTCTAGACGGAATTCCGTCTAGAATACTCATCCTAGACGGAATTCTGTTTAAGATTGGCTGCTTTTCGAATCTATCCTGACACTTAGGCTAGATATGAGCCAGATTTTGGTTGGATTGTACCACACTGTATTGACTCTCGTCCTTCTTAACACTCGGATAAACCAAACTGGTAATAATCGGTAGGCATTTAGAATGCTTTTGGGGATCTGTGTTTGTAACAGTTTTCCAGCGATCTGTACTTCGTGTTGGTTCTCAGTTGGAGTACCTGAAGACATGTCACTGCAGTCGGAATTTTTTGTTTGTGCACGCAAGCTTCTCAAACCATTTCAAGTTNTCAATGTGTGTGCATATCAAATTTTATGGAGAAGCAGACTAGCCACAAGCTGCCATTTTAACTAGGACTGCTGAAATTTAGAGCCTCACAACATAGTATGTGAGTTTCAATTTTCTTAGTCCAGGTTTGGCCTAGTCAAGCATGATTTATATCCAAATCAAATGTCGAGTATGGCAATGTCCTTAATAAATAGATGATACATGTAACAGGTTTTGGTTTTTGGATTATCCAACTCTATATCGTATATGTTGGTCATATCATAGCATAGAATCAACAATATTATGATAAGAGCGTAATGTTAAATAATGTCCATTATGTCAAATGTGTCGATGGTAAAATACCTTCTTCGCATAAGGTGTCCTCGCACGAACTGTAATGTCGCCATGTTAAACAGGTTCAGGTTTCTCTGTCATCACAGCACAGGGGTCTAGTGGTAGAATAGTACCCTGCCCTAGGCCTGGGTTTGATCCCGGCTAGTGCACTTCTACTTCTTCTTTTGTGAAAATTGCAGATCATCAGTTAATATTTCCTATGCTTATTTTGCTTATAATTCCCTGCTCGTGCAAGTCTTTATGCTTTCATCCTTAGTTGCAATGCAGCATCATAGATCACCTTATTCTGCACCAAATTCTCAGGAAAACTTGTTTAGGCATCTTCGCGTTTTTAATTACGTTCATTGCACCATTACATATTTCCCTGGTTGGTTTTCAGATTCTGCTAAATTCATGATACTGAAAACATGTGTGTCCCATGCTGCCAAGTGATCATTCCCGATTCCATGCATTAGATGAGCTCTGGAATTGTTTATCAAATCAAATTCCAGTATACTTTTAGCACTGTGATATACACATGTCAAATCAAGAACGAAAATATTACTAGAAGGAAATGATGACGCCCTTCGAAATAATGCAAACGATGGACACACTGTCATTATTTGTCGATGAGATTGCATTATATCTTTACTTACATGAGTCATATCTTTACAATAGCAAAGATAATTTCATCAAACTGATTCAAGAGAATTTCATCATGAACTTGAGAGGGTCCTTTAAATGATGCACACAGGCTAGACAAAGTAAATATTCTAGTAGTCCACAACACTCTTCACAAGTGAGGATGGTCACATTGCATCCTTAGACAAGTAGTTGTTTGGCTGGATTCTCCGAGCATTGCAGAGCTCATCAACTGCATCACCTTGTTCAAAAACAGCAGCAGCCCCCATTCCAGATCCTGTAGATAGCAGTTTTACAGCATTAAAGCTGGTCTAAATGTGTATATATGTGCATATAAGAGAGAGAGAGAGAGAGAGAGAGAGAGAGAGAGAGAGAGAGAGAGAGGGAGAGAGAGAGAGAGAGAGAGAGAGAGAGAGAGAGAGAGAGAGAGAGAGAGAGAGGCTAACCGATGCACATAGATATCACGCCGAATCTAGAGTCTTTGCCTCTGCGTTTCATTTCATTTAGTAAGGTACTTACACAACGGGCACCTGTATGGAAAAGTCAGATTTCACACTGGCATTTACGACAACAGAAAGTTCTACATCTTAAGTACTCAGAAGTTGATTTTTTAAGTGTCAAAGCCATACAGAATATCTGACTTCCGCAATTAGAATCTACCCAAAATTTTGTGCATGGAACTAGAGAAATTCTGCTTCACTGAGAAGCCTCTGCGGATTTATGAAATACAAAGGAAATATGTACTTGGTTCCTCTAGGCAGAACAATCATGTCTAAATTATAGCAGAAATTTGTAGGAAAAAAAGGGATTTGTTAATTTGGTTCTTCTCCAATGTTTGTAAGACATAAATAAAACTGCAGAAAAGTTACCACGGCACTGATGACCAAGACAATTTTCTCAACGTATTCCCTCCCTTGCCCATTTGTTAATCTCCTGCCTTAAGCTTTCGGTTAAAATAAACAGTTTGATGGACACTAGAATGCATGGGGATATGTGCAAATGCATCGGGTTTGAACACATGGGGTAGATGCCATGTTTCAATGGATGGTATGCAGCAAGCAAAGGTATACTTTCTGACTCCAATGGAGACCGGGCTTTCCCGCAAATCTGCATGTACTAGTTTAGAATATTGCCAGTGTAAAAGCAAAATGTATTAAGCAAATGCGAATACCCCTTCTTCTCAACTTGACATATATAAGGTGCTTGCTTCATTAATATAGAAGTCAATAATGAATTTCATAAGAAAATTTATTATCTATTTGGTACAATCTAGTATTGAAAGAAAAACCAGGAACTGCAGTGGTCTATCTTAAACATCTGTTGTCCCAAGATAAGCTAATCTAGCATCAAAAGGAAAATACAAGTAGTCGAGAATGATTCATCTTTATATACCTGTGGCGCCCAACGGATGACCAAGAGCAATGGCCCCTCCATTAACATTAACTTTCTCTGGGTTGAGCCCCAACTTTTTGCAGCAATATACGTATTGTGAGGCAAAGGCCTAAAAATAAAGCAAATACATCTTTTCCATTCAAGTTTCAGGTTTTACCCCCCAAAAAAATGCATGAAAAAAGACATCCAAACAGAGACAATCTGACATTACCTCGTTGATTTCAAAAAGGTCAATATCTTCAATTTGTAGGCCAGCAGCTTTTACCGCAGCAGGTATTGCAACTGCTGGGCCGATGCCCATTACACCAGGCTCCACTCCAACAGCGGCAAAACTCCTACAAAGAGATCCCCATAAAAAAGACATCAGAAAAAAACTAACAGAAATAGATTAAGATAAAAGCCTAGAGAAGCAGTAGCATGGAATAGTTACAATAGTAAACAGTCAGAAATTACACAATACTAATTTTGATTTAATGAATAACACTGGATTTAAGTTCATGAAGGAGCAATAGAAGGCATCATACTGAGATCCATGACTACAGCATAGTTGGCCTTTCATTGATTCTCAACAAATAACCGAAGTCTGGTCAGATATTTCTGATATTGGCACATCATACATGCTCATCAATGGGTAGGGACCAAACTTGTTGAAAGCTCAGCCATGATGGTCACTTCAAACCCAGATACGCAACAGACACGTTTTTTAGGCCTACAGCCTAGTACTCTCAGATAATCTATTGTTAACAAAGAAATTATCATGTTGTTATGTTTTGCATCTTTTAGAAGTTGAAAATTCATCGTCATCTAGAAGCTCAAGGCACTGTGTTTTTACTATCTTTTGTCCCCCTATAACTGCTAATAAAATATTATCCCCAACTCTTTTTTTGCAATTACGTTTGCCACTAGCTTCTAGCATTGTTTTAAATATCCCCGACATGGCCCGATATATCCCCCATATCTTTATCGAGCTAGCTGCAACCAATACGGTCTCCAAATATCCTTTACCGCATTTTGACTATTTTGGGTGATATATCCCAGATGTAGCCAATATATCACCCGATATATTGGCCAATATTTCCTTTTATATGACTTGTCACAAAATAATATACCACGTTTGGCAATTTTGGGGCGAGATATCATGTTTTTCCATTATATCAAATGACATTTTGGCCTACAAAAAATCTAACGATATGTAGCAATGTTGATTTGTACTTTCGTTTGTTTTATAAGGTTGATTAGTAATCCTAAACATATATTATTTATATTTGTATGCTTAGATTTCATTAAATATGTTGAGATAACATTTTAGTACATTATACTATATATGCAAGCATCCGTTTTGTCATTCCGATACTTACCAAGTACCCCCGATATTTTCCCAATATCCGCAATCCGAAATGGATTTTGGCCATCCAATATTTCCCCGATATCCGATATTTAAAACCTTGGCTTCTAGAAGTGTAAGATGTTACCTTCTCCTCCACAAGTCTATAATTGATAACGGATATAGTCAAGGTAATTTCAAGAGAAGAAATTAAGGTTGTCATCTTGTCCTTCGATTTGACACTGCATGTTTGGTAATGGCAAGTGAAGCGAGTGAAATTTCAGGACGCGTCAGAAGCAAAAAGAAAATCCAAGGGACTTAACCTGAAAAGGTCGCATTTGAGGTGTTCACATGAAATTGCCTTCTTCCCTATTAAACAGATTAGTGCACCTTTCTAAAAATCTGCAATTTTTTTTTCAATTACAAGAATGTCCTTGACCTGAAAGTCTTCCCTCTATAATAAATGAAATCAGGACAACCTCTTGTGACTTGTGAGTGCTTGTAAAGAAAAGATCTACAGGCTGCTGCTTCAAAAGAATTTTCTAATTACTACATTAACTGGTTAGTAGTTATTAAATTTAGGAACATATCAATTTGACCAATAAAATTTATATAATTATGAGGACTCCAATTCGTTCCATGTTTCTTCCCTATAACAATATAAAAATGAATATTAGCATCTTGATTGTCTGGAGCGAAGC